ATCTTATTTGCAGACAAAGTAGATTTCAAACCAAAACTAATTAAGAGAGACAAAGATGGTCACTACATCCTTGTGAAGAGAACATCCAAGAGGACTAGATGACAAACCTAAATATATATGCACCAAATACAAATGCCCCCAACTATACAAAACAAATAGTAATGGACATGAAAAACCAAATAAGCACTAATACAGTTGTAGTTGGGGACCTCAATACCCCACTATCACAAACAGATCATCTAAACAAAAAATTAACAATGAAATTCTAGAACTGAACCAAGCTATTGGACAAATGGGCTTAATAGATATTTACAGAGTGTTCCACCTCAAAAATTCAGAATACACATTCTTTTCAGCTACACATGGGTTATTCTCCAAAATAGACCACATCCTAGGTCACAGGACATGTCTAAGTCAATGTAAAAGAATGGAAATTACCCCCTATATATTATCAGACCATAGCACAATAAAATTGGAGCTCAATAGCATGAGAAACTGCACAACTCCCACAAACACCTGGAAATTGAATAACACCCTCCAGAACAACCAATGGGTCATAGAGGAAATTAAAGAAGAAATTAGACAGTTTCTACAAGTAAATGATAATGCCAGTACAACATATAGGAATCTGTGGGACAAGATGAAAGCAGTTCTATATGGGAAATTCATACCAGTGAATGCCTATAATAGGAAAACCCAAAGAACTCAGATAATAATAACCTAATGCAGAACCTCAAACTCCTAAAAAAAGAAGAGAATAACAAACCCAAAGCCTACACAAGAGAGGAAATTATGAAAATCAGACAGAAATCAATGCAATGGAGACTAAGAGAATGATACAAAAAATTAATGAACCAAAGGGTTTTTCTAAAGAATAAAGAAAATCAATAAACCTTTATCCATCCTTATCAAAAAAAGGAAATAAAAGACTCAAATCCATGCAATTAAGAATGAAAAAGGGGAAGTCACAACAGAACCAGCAGACATCCTGAGGATCATCAATACCTATTTCGAGAACCTGTACTCTAACAAAGTGGAACACACAGAAGAAATAGACAGATTCCTAGATACAAAAGAATTGCCAAAGTTAAATGAAGAAGATATAAAAATTCTATACTCACCAATAACAATGAGTGAAATTGAAAATGCAATAAAAATACTTACCAACAAAGAAAAGCCCAGGTCCTGAAGACTTCACTGCTGAATTCTACAAGACATTTAAAGAAGAACTAACACCATTACACTTTAAACTCATCAAGGAAACTGAAAGGGAAGCAAGGCTTCCAAATTC